ACATCAGATATAGAGAAAGCCTTTGATACAGTAGAATGGGTTTACCTTTGGGAGGTGTTACGCCGGATGGGTTTCCCTTTAAGGATTATAGAATGGCTACAGACCCTGTACTTGAATACCCTGGCAAAGATACGGGTGGGTGGCCTTCTCTCTACTTCTTTCCACTTGCAATGTGGTTCCAGATTGGGATGTCCCCTCTTCCCAGCCCTCTTTGCAATGGCGATGGAGCCTATAGCTGAAGCCCTTTGAGTTTCTCCAGATATTGTTGGCCTTCGGGTGGGATGGTTGGAGGAGAGGGTGGCCTTATATGCAGACGACCTGTTATTGTTTCTAAATGATCCTGGGCCCTCCCTTCAGGGAGCTGTTCATCTTATGGACTCATTCTCTAGATTCTGAGTCACTGTTATTCCGGTGGATGAAGGAGCAATGGCCTCCTCCTCCCCTACTTCTCCTTTACAGTGGGCGGATAAATTTACTTATTTAGGTATTTTAGTCTCCAAGAAGGCCTCTGATTTTATAGAATTGAATCTCCATCCAATATTGTCCGAGGTCAGGTCCAAACTGACGGCATGGAGTAACTTACCCCTTTCTCTAATTGGCCGTATTAATCTTTTAAAGATGAAAATACTTCCCAAATTTACGTATATTTTTCTAAATTCCACTCAGTGGCTCCTCAAGTCATGCTTTTTAAAATTAAATCAATTGTTTCTTTCATTTCTTTGGGGAATTAAGCCTCCCAGATACAAATTCACTACCCTCACCAGACCTATGGACAGAGGAGGTTTGGCAATGCCGGATAGTTTCAAATATTTCCTTGCTGCTCAACTTGTTACTGTGCACTGGTGGTTACAGCCAGACCTAACCAACACCTCTGTTGTACTGGAAGCGGTGATTTTGAAATTTCTGGAAGCCCTCCAATCTCTAGTGTTCAAGGGATTAAGATCGCCCCATAGCCTCAAACCATCAATGCATACCACTCTTCAGGCCTGGGCTCAGACTGAAATTCAAATTCAAATTCAATCTGCCCTTGCATTATTACTATAGTCTTGGGTCAACCAATTTCCTCTCATACCCTGAGCTGGAGTCTATCCTCCATGTATCATATTTGGAAAAACCCACTTCGAAACTATACCGATACCTTCTTGTGGCAGCCAACCGCAAATTGACATCCTTACATCAGAAATGCGGAGTGAATATCCCTAGCCTGGATGATGACTGGTCCGAGATTTGGGATTCTCCTTTTTCTCTCCCCTAGTCTCTACCAGAGATAAATTAATTCAGTTTAAAATTCTACACAAGGCTTACTTTACTCCACATTGGCTGCACAGAATGAACCCTTCTCTCCCTCCAGCATGTTGGCTTTGTTCACATCAGGATGGGGAATTTTTTCATATATTCTGGTCTTGTCCTGCTATTGTGTCGTATTGGCAGGAAGTGTTACAAATAATTGGAGACATAGTACAAATCACAGTCCCTCTTGACACGAAGTATTGTCTTCTAGGGCTGGTGGAACCCTTGGCTCCCACTGCGGCCAAACATACCCTTCTTAATACTTTGTTATTTTACGCTAGCAAAACAATTACTTTGTGCTCGACGCAGCCCTCTCCTCCTGCCATAACTTTCTGGAAACGTTTAGTAAATTCTAATTTGCCCCTATATAGAACTACTTATGCTAATAGAGATGATGCCCCTGTAAATTTTACAAAATCTGGTCTTGCTGGTTAGATAATGCCTCCACCATGGCAGACGATAAAAGGACTTGACTAGTATTTAGTTATTTACTGTATTTTTTCCTTACTGGTAAAAGGTTCCTTACGTTTTTTTTTTTTTTATATGGTCTCTTCATCTAACTGTATTCGGATAAGCCTTGCATGTCCTGTACCACCTCCCCCTCCTCCAGAGTTGCTTTTTAGTTAGTTTCTGTGTTAACATTGTTGGGCCTACGGCTCTGCCCCTGCGAAGGCACCTTTTGTTTAAAGTGTCTTCTGTCGTTTGTGTTTAATATTAAAATCAATAAAACAGATTAAAAAAAAATAAATAAATAAATGGAGCCTGGATTTGCCATCGATGGAGAGGGGAATAGTGTGGGGTAAGTGTGCCATAACATGCAAGTATTCTGTATGATTTTGTGTATTATTGCAAAAGTGTTGTATTCAGTGGCTGCCCATTGGAGCATTGTAGAAGCAATGATGGAGGTACTTTGGAAGGGGACAGACCAACAAATGGAGCCTGGACTTGCCACTGATAAAGAGGGTCCCAGTTCTGGGTAAGTATGCCATAATGTGCAAGTATGCTGTACATACTCATGTATTATGACAAGTCTTACCCCTCCACACAGCGGACTTTAGCTCTGCCTTTAAGGGGTGTACATTTTTGCATCAAGAAACGGTTACTATTTTTAGAAATGTGTAACATTTACTGTCTTTTTCCACATATGGCAAATGCAGTCCTTCTACGATGCATGTTGTTCCTTTGTTATGAATGACAAATCATCCATTCATGTGTATTCGTACAATCATTTAGCCTTGGATCACATAATACATACACAAAACATCACTGAATAACTGGGCTATGCCCATAGCTCCACATAATAGCACATGTAAATGTCAGCAGGCAGCACAATCTGCACCTGAAGTCTATATTTTCTCCCTGAATTAGACAGGTGTCCAGCGATTCAATCAAAGATATAAACTCAAGAGCCTCCATTCCATTAATAGCTTCTTGCCATCCTTGGCATTCTTGTGAGATTTGATTTAGACATTGAAGACACCTAGTATTCAATGCATGTATTACAGTTTATTAAAGAGGATCTGAATCATGGAAAGTGCGCCCAAAAAAGAATCCTCGTATCAGAGTGCCCCTTCCCCCATTACTGGTGGGGACATTTTTAGTAAGCAGCAGGTGTGATGGAGAAAGCAGAGATCCAAAGAATAGAAGAAACAGAAGCAGGGAGATCCTTGCACTGCAGGTCCTCAGGTACAGATTCCCTTCCAGCAATGAGAACAGTGACCAGCACAGTAGTGACAATTGAGACTATTTGTCAGAGGTTCAAAGCCTTAGATGATCTCCCACTGCATTACATTTTTTTAAAGAGGATAGAAATTATGGAAGGTGTGCTAAAAAAACTGAAGTACAGTACAAAGGACTAGTCACCGTAATTGCCTGTGGTCTCCCTACAGCTGATCTTTGCCTTATTACTGACTTACCATGCCTTGCTCTGCACTGTTTCTCTATATAGAGGCAGCCATCTTTGTAGAGGAGCAGGTATTTGCTTCCATTCTGTTTCAATGACTGGTGATCTGATGACTGGTAAAGTAATATTCAAGAAACAGCAGGAGAGGTGGAGGAAGCACAGATTCACAGAATAGATTAAGCAGAAGGAGGAAGATCCTTGCAAATCAGGTCCTCAAGTACAGCTTCCCCTGCAGGTGAGGTCTGGTGACACTAGTTGTCAGTGGCACAAAGCCTTGAATGCTCTCACACTGCATTATATTTTATTTAAAAAGGACCTGAATATATATACAGTTGTGCCAAAAAAACGCAAGCAGAAGACAAGTGTTGTTTGTAGGCCTTCTGCAGCTGATCATTCCTTCATTGTGGACTTACCATGCCCTGTTCTGTACTGTGCCTCAGTGTAGAGGTGGTCATCTTGGTGAAGTAGCAGGCCTTTGCTTCCTCATGCCAAAGCACCTTCACCTAGATGACTGTGGTGTAGTGTGCACACTTGAAACTAAACAACGGGTGTAATTAAAAAGTGAGCACACAGAAAGTGAACCACAAAAGAGTGCACAGGGTGTACTTGTGGTCCTCCTCTGAAGAGAAAAGACCCTGGCCCTGATCCCCTGGGGTGCAAGGCTCCTGACGGGGACTGGGGTATTTGAAGTCCACTTGGCTCTCGATGACTGGTGATCTGATGCCTGATGGGGTTGTATTCAAGGAGCAGCAGGAGTGGTGGAAGAAGTAAAAGAGCCACAGAATAGATGAAAAAGAAGCGGGGAGATCCTTGCACTGCAGGTCCTTCAGATACAGTTTCCTCTCCAGCAATGAGAACAGAACACTTTTCAGGTGAGATTCAAGACAAAAGATTAATCTTTCAGGTTCCTGCTTAGGCATAATTAGCATTTCTAGATGTTCTCTGTAAGATAGCAGTTGTGGAACGGCCCCGTTCACTTGAAAGAGTCGAGCTTGGCGGTGGTACTGCCTGCCAAATGCAACCTGTGGTATAAAATTTTGCTCCTGCTGTGGCATGTGTACCTCATCATCCATTGCACGTTGAGGGTGGGGAGTTGGTAGAACGTGGCTTAACTGCCTGTTTTTGCTGTGTAAATGGGAACACATAACAAACATTTAGCGGCGGTTTCTCAAATTTGACTGCAAAAGTGGAAATAGACATTAATAGAGAGAAGGCATATCTTCGGTATTTGCTTGCTAGCATCCTCACCTCACTGATTTTGACTTGCTGCTTGGAATTGCTTCCAGTGTGTGATGTCATCAAAAATACAATGATATTACATCATCACTCAACCGAAATGTTATTTCATGTCTAAATCGGGAACCTGCTCACTCTTCTCATAGAGAGGCTTGTGTCCTCTGCGGAAGCGCATCTCAAACTTTTTTTAGTAGCAGCGCCCCTTAACCTCCCTGGCGGTATGATTATTTCAGATTTTTGGTGCTGAAAGCGGTACCATTATTTTGCATGGAAATATGTAGTTTTTTTATTGTAGGCTGTAATTTTTAGGAATAACTCACTGAAATCTGTCCGAACAAAAGTCTATTAAACATCCCGGGTATGATAAAATTTGAAACACTAAATCATAAATTATAATTTAATAAATAATCATAAATAATAATAATATAATAATAATACATTTAATTCAATAATATAATCAAACCGAAAACACTGAAATTTGAAGTAGAGCGCCAAGTTCGTACATTGCCGAGCAAAGTCGCAAAATCGGTTTCAGTGTCTGATGACGAATTTCCCCACGAATCATTATCACTCAATTCTGCAAGTGGTTCTGATTTACTATCGCTGTTCTCTAGCTGATCTAAACCCGCTTTTGACCTAAAGGGACACTTTTTGGACGCCATGGACGTTTCTCAGTTTCCAGGCAGAAAGAACAGACAAAATGTAGGCAGGGCACAGGACAAAGCACTAGGGACAATATGTATGTGAAATGGGTTGAAACAGCAATGTTTTACTGTGAAAAATGTGTTTTGAAAAAAATGACATTTTTTAAAATTTTCAAATTTCCCGCCGCCGACGCCCGTACGTCCCGACGTCACGGGGACCGGAACACAGAAGCCGGATGCCGGCATCGGCCGGAGGAGATGGCCGGGGACGCTGCAGGGGACACATCGCGGGAGCGAAGGACAAGGTAAGTGCTGCAGGGACTCCCTATGCAGCGCCGCATGGTAAGCCCGAGTGTAGCTCGGGGATACCGCTTTTGGTACTAAAACTCTACCCCGAGCTACACTCGGGAATACCGCCAGGGAGGTTAAATAACTGCTAAGAGGTGAAAAAACGAAATGTTACTTATGAATGAGAAACCTGCTCTTGGAATGATGCACTCAACCACCTTTATGAAGTTAACTTCACATCAGAAGCCCCCCTTCACATCAGAGCACACCCCTCCCCCTTCACATCAGAGTCCCCTCTCTATATCTGAATCCTCCCATCATATCAAAGACCCCCCTAGGCATTAGAGGCCCCCATTACATACAGTAGTCAGAAACCCCCAATTAAATAATCAGAGTTCCCCATCACAGAGTCCTTTAATCACAGAGTCCTCCCATCACATAAAGTTCCCCCCAATACAACAGACGCCCCTCCCCCCATAACATAGTCAGAGTTCCCCCCATCACATAGTCAGAGTTCCCCCATAACCTAATCCTCCAATCACATCCTCCCTCCCATACATTAGAGGCCCCACATCACATAGTCAGAAACCCCATATCACGTAGGCAGAGTCCCCCATCTTGTAGTCTGGGTCTCCCATCACAGAGTCCTCCCATCACATGAAATTCCCCCATATACATCAGAGGCCCCACATCACAAAGTCAGAGTCCCCCCATCACCTAGTCAGAGGCCCCTCATTACATAGTCAGATGCCCAACATTACACAGTCCTCCCATTACATCAATTTCTCCCCTATGCATCAGAGGCACCCTATCACATAGAGGCTCCACATCACTTAGATTCCCCCATCACTTAGTCAGAGTCCCCCATCACCTAGTCAAAGGCCCCTCCATTACATAGTCAGAGTCCCCCATAACAGAGTCCCATCACACAGTCTTCCCATTACATCAAATTCTCCCCTATACATCAGAGGCCCTCCATCACGTAGTTAGAGGCCCCTCATCACGTAGTCAGATTCCCCCCCATCAATTATTCAGAGCCCCCCCATCACCTAGTCAGAGGCCCCTCATTACATAGTCAGAGTCCCTCATAATAGAGTCCCCTCATCACACAGTCCCCTCATTACATCAAATTCTCCCCTATACATCAGAGGTACTCCATCACATAGTTAGAGGCCCCACATCCCTTAGTCAGATTCCCCCCATCAATTAGTCAGAGTCCCCAATTACAGAGTCCTCCTAATACATCAAATTCCCCCCCTATACATCAGAGTCTACCCCATCACAAAGTTAGAGTCCCCCCCCCATCATATATTCAGTGTCCCCCATCACATAGTCAGAGTCCCCTATAACAGGGTCTCCCCAACATATAGTCAGAGTCCCCCATTACAGAGTCCTCTCATCACATCAGATTACCCCCTATACATCAGAGGCCCCCCATCGCGAAGTCAGAGGCCCCATATCACACAGAGTCCCCCCCTACACTTAGAGTCACCCTATCTTATAGTCAGAGTCCCTCCATCACATAGTCAGAGTCCCCCCATCTCCTAGTCAGAGCCCCCATTACATAGAGTCCCCAATTACAGAGTCCCCCCCCCATCACAGTTAAATAGTCCCCCCATCACAGAGTCTTCCCATCCATCTATGATCCAGGGCAAAGTGTTTGAGGCACCCTCGGGGAATCCAAAACAGCACCCCAGTGTATGGCAGCACCATACCTGCCAACTTTTTGGGATGGGAATGAGGGACACCTATTAGCAAATGTATGTGGGCATAGGACACACCCCCTGACACACCCTCTTAAAGGAGAATTATACCAAAAAAAGATTAGTTAAACCCTCAAGTTCTTTTTTTTTTACAGCTATTCCTTTATACTGGCTTTTGAAATTTGCAAATGCAGCAATGTAGACATTGGATGAAAGGTTTAGCACTGTGAAACACTTTTTGAAAGATACATTCTTTATATATACAACTCTATGGGTCAGACCAAAATGAGGGACAAATGAGGAGGAAAGAGGGACTGCGGGACTTTGTTCCACATCATGGACAGTTCCTTGAAATCAGGGACAGTCCGGAGGTAGGCAGCACTCTAGTTGTTAAACATTGCTCTAAAGCATCAATGGTGTCCACAGAAACTGCCCCAATATTTTTTTGGCAGGTGAAATCAATTAGAGAACTGTGGGCTGATCTGTTGCTGCGGATTACTGCACAGAACGGCACTTAACATCATTTTATTACCCAGAGGCCAATCTGTCCTTTTCTTGTCAACAGTCCTATTTATATAAAACTGAATAGCTATGTGGGCGTGAGCCATTGAATTACCTGTTCTTGTTAGACACATGGCGGTGTGAGTCTCTGTGAATGGGTTTACTGTAGACCTTTAGCTCCGATGATGCATCTTCTTCTCTTGCCGAAGTCAGATATGTGTTTGCCGGCGTGGTAATGACGTGTCTTTTATTCCGCGTCATTCAGAACAAGCACGCATCATATTCAGTTCCTTGTTTTTCTATCCAAAATAAAGAACTAATATATGGCTGCAGTGTCTGCTCAGTTAGCGGAGATGTGGGCACTGTTGGGGTGTTTCCTGCCTTCCTGTCATACATGAGGGCTGTCTGGTTTTAAATCCGGCTGTAGATATAAAAGCCACAAATTAATGTAATAATTAATACAAAATGTTTGATACAAACAGTGTCAGTACCTGAATTTTAATAGGTAGCACCCTCTTACAGTCCTTATACAGCAGAGCTCAGACTGGGAAATGGAGAAGCAGGACAAGGAGCCAATTATGTGTGCGGCTGTGCACTTGTGCTAACGGAGACGGCTGATAGGAGGAGAAAGCGGAGTGACAGAGAGATAAGCTCATCAGTCTGCTGCTTCTCCTCTTACCATCCCATTACAGGATGGGGGAAGGACAAGGCCTGTAGGAAATTAGAAAAAAAAAAAACTTGCTGTGCCCCCACCCAACACACACTGCAAGGGTTGAATGCTCATTTTGTCCAAGGGTGTCAGAATACACTTGTTATGGGGTGACAATGCTCTATCCTTGTCTCCCAACTGTGCTCCTGTGTTGACACCTGGTCACAGACCATTCCAATGGAGACCACAAGGGGCCTTGGCAATACACATTTCATAGTCATGGTCCACCATTTGCAACATCAGGACACTCCCCCCACCCAGTGGTGTATTTAGGTTTTGTGCTGCCCTAGGCAACACAAAAATCGTCTGTCCCCATGGACAATGACCAACACCCTCTCCTCCTCCACCCACGGAGAGAGCCTGATATTGACCAAGCACCCCTGTCACCCACCTGGTGATAGAGAGAAAGACACTCATCTTCACAGCTCTGACATCCCCGGGAACAAGAGTCAGGCTCTACAAGCAGCCCGCAGCCTCTCTCAGATCTCACCTGGTTCCCATGGTGCTCCTTCTTTCATCCCTTCTTCTAAGAGGAGGTGCTGCCCCCCTAAAAAAATGCCGCCCTAGGCAACTGCCTTGTTTGCCTTGTTGTAAATATACCCCAGCCCCCACCCCGTAATCTCAGCATAAAGGTCTTTGCGCAATGCACTTTCTGCAGCCCACCCTGAGAATTGCCATGCAGGCATCGCTGGAATGCATGCAGATTGGAAGTGGCTGCATATTAGAAAAAAGTCTACTCCTACATTATCACACCCCCCAACACACACACACTGCAAGGGTTAAATCCTCAATATGTCCAGGGGTGCTGAAATACGCTAGCTGTAGGGTGACAACTCTCTGTTCTTGTCTCCCAACTCTGCTCATGCGTTGTCACCTGGTCACATGTCATTCCAATGGAGACCACAAGTGACCCCTGCAATACACATTTCTCAAGCATGGTCCACCACTGGCACCATCAAGACCCCACTTATGATCTCACCAAGAAGGTCCTTGTGTAAGGTACTTCCTGTTATAGAGTGACAACACTCTGGCCTTATCTCCAGATTGAGCCACTGTGTAGTCACCTTTTCTCATGTGATTCTGATAGAGACTGCATGTTTTAACATACATCAAGTAGCCCACTCTGAGAAATGCCATGCAATCATCGCCGGAGTGCATGCAGATAGGAAGTGTCTGCAAATTATTAACAAATCTACTCCTACAATATCTCCCCCCCATCCCCCACAACACATACAGTGCAAGGGTTAAATACTCATTATGTCCAGGGGTGCTGGTTATAGAATGACAACTCTTGGTTCCTGTGTCTCAACTGTTCTCCTGTGTTGTCACCATGTCACACAGCATTTCAATGGAGACTAGTGGTCTTTGAAATGCATATTCAACAAGCATGGTCCACTATTGGCATCATCAGGAAACTCCTTGTCTTGGTGATCCCGCCAGTGTAAGGCACTTCCTGTTATAGGGTGACAACACTCTGTTCTTGTCACCAAGTTGAGCCACTGTGATGTCATCCTCTCACGGGAATTATGATGGAAACTAAAAGTTTTAACACCAACAACATCAGGTAACAAGCCTTGAAAAAGGCCATACGGTCATCACTAGAGTGAATTAAGACAGAAAGTGGCAGAAAAAGTGCTGCAAGAGATCAGCAGATAAATCGGGGTCCTCCTTCAATGCCAGACAAGGCTGTGCTGTGTGGCAGAGCTGTGTAAAATCCCAGGAATGGATGGACAGGAATGGAAACCCTTTGGCAGGTAAAGCAGCTCACGTATGTGTCTTTAGCGGTTTACTTAAAGTTCAGCTTTAACCACTTCCCCTCTGGAGGATTTACCCCCCCCCCCCCCCCTCCTGACCAGGCCATTTTTTTACGTTACGGCTCAGTAATAGTACGTTGACTGACAATTGTGCGGTCATGCAACGCTGCACCCTAATGAAATTTACGTCCTTTTTTTCCCACGAATTGAGCTTTCCTTTGGTGGTATTTGATTGCCTTTGCATTTGTTATTTTTTGCGCTATAAAAAAAAGACTGACAATTTTGAGAAAACAAAAACTATATTTTTGACTTTTTAATTTTTTTTTAAAC